CCATTGAATATAAGCAAAATCCCATATGAATACGAGGCCAATTTTGGATGCCGCCTATTGCGATTGCAGCATGTTTCCTTTTCAACAAGCGAATCGTGCCACAAGATGATTATTTCAGATTGCGAATAATTGCTTTCGAAAATATACATTCTGATAATTCGTTGCAGAAAGAAGGCTATTGGAGTGATGCAGTAATGTCATCGCCAACACCACCACCTGTACCTAAACATCGTCATCAAGTGGAGTCCGAAGAACTTTGCGCATCGATCACAAATGAACTAGGTTAAACCCTTCAACATCTTTGATTAGATCTTCCCACTGATTCATTTTTGAAAAGTGTTGATTCTATTGAAGGAATTCTTGATGGAATTCTCTACAGAATTCTTGATTGAACCAGAATGTTAGTTAGCTTATCGGCAACAGCTCTCGGTCACATGTAGTGTGATAACGTCTTGAGTATATTTACACTGACATGCGCTCAAATCGCATTCCTATTGCTGCATTTGTCTAGATTTTATTTATATAGCAGTTTGCTTGATTGGCATCACTGCGAAACAAATTGAAGTCGATAAATCTCGGAAGCGTTTGCCCATGAAAGCACCCATCTATTATTCATTCAGTGCCGTTTAGATAAGCCATACGGCGCTTTGTTCACGCACGTTTTTCATGATACAACATAACGGTGACTAATAGATTGTTTCCATCTCCATTCTCATTTCTTATCGGAATTAATGCCTGTAGGGTGAAATGAATAGATTTTCATGGTCTTGATTCAGCTGATCGCGATAGCATGCAAAGATGAGTGAGTGTTTTCAATTCAATTTTCGGATCATTAGCTGTTTTGTTTTCAGCATTTAGCAGCACAGCAACGGAACCCGAATTTATTCGTCCATTCCAGAATGAATATACGGTGACTGAAGGCGAGAGATTCAAAATTGACTGCTTAATGATCGGTAATCCAAGACCAAAAGTTCATTGGTACTTCAACGATCGCACTATCAATATTAATTCGTCATTTTGCAAGGTGTTCTCGTTATATAATCAGTATATTGTCATAAAAGGAGCGCTTCCTTTTATTTTGTGTGCATGCACAGCAATTTCGTGAATTGCTACGTGCTTTCAGTGATTTTGTCTAACGATTTTATCCAATCTCAAATGATAGGTTACCTGAAAAGGTTTTGTTTTAGGTACAAGATTGCTTCCTGAGTGAAAAGATCACAAGCAACAAATATTCAAGTGATGACATACCTAGATAGTAAATGTAGCTTACCATGAGCTTATAATGTTAGATCAATGTTTCGAATAAGTTTGGAGTATGAAAGTAAAGTATTGCATTGTTGAATCATCCAAGCGAAAAATAAGGCATGATGCCCTGAAGGCCATGCATAATTGCTCTTTCAACTGGCTATATATGAGCCTGGAAGTTGTCGTTTCATCAGCACTGCTTTCGTATGGATGCATTTCTTTCGAATATGACATGTTTAC